TTCAAACGCCTAAAACCAGACTCCGAGGTTTCTCCGTACAATGGAGTTTCGTCTTCACAATCATTTGTAACTCCAATGAAAGTCCCAGAACGGGTTACGCTAAACAGTGGTTACTCTACTTGTTCTTCCTTTTCACTTCTTGATGATGACATTGATGATTCCTTTTTACAAGAGATTGACATTATCTGCGAACAGTCGGCGAGGAGAAAAGCTTGCCAAACTCCAACTACCAGCATAACTAACAACAGTGACATCAAGGCTGGCTTGAATTCAATGGCTGAGTCAGGCTCTGATGTCGAATTGGAGCTTGATAAAGAGACTACCATTGTTGCTGATCCTGCATTGATCAATCACATGCCTGATCAGTGTTCGAAATATATGCAGTCTTTAAACGATAGACAAGGTGATGCAGCATCTAGTGAAATTACTACTCCTTTGATGGTTATTGCTGGTCCTGGAAGTGGAAAGGTTGGTATCTTATTAGACTAGTTTTCTTATGAGGCAAGGATTTATGTGGTTTTCATGTTATACAGTGAGTGCTAATAATTCCTTTTTTCCCCTCATGTTAGACTTCTACCATGGTTGGCCGGGTCTTAGTGTTTCTCAGTCAGGTACTATCAGTTAATCGCCGATGAATGATTTAGAACGAGTTCCATACTTGAGATATTGAATATGAAAGTTCTCTTTAAACTTAAGTTTTGTCTTCTTTTTAACTTAATAGGGTCTACTTCCATCAAATATCCTTGCGATGACTTTCACTACAGCGGCAACTTCTGAGATGAGAGAACGTATAGGAAAATTTGCTGGAAAGAAAGCAGCCAAAGACATAACAATTAGTACATTCCATTCGTTTTCCCTGCAGCTTTGTCGGATGCATGCAGACAAGTGAGAATATGAATTATGAATTTCTTTTTAAAATTTGTTAGATCTTTTGAGTAAATTTGCCTTTTTAAATTTCTTAAATCTTTCGAGTATTTAAATTGGTGACATAACTTCCAGGTACAAGAAATGGAAGTAGTACTTGAAAGCAATATTAGTTAATATATACTCTTGTTGTAGTAGTATATTTCCTTGCTTTTCAATGTGTTGTGATTTCACTAGTTCTATTTTACATGTGTTCATTTGAGGTTGTTAGTTATGTATCACTCATTAACATCTCTAGAGTAGTAGTAGATTCGTTGGATTTTTGTACCTTATACCTTTCCTACTGTCACAGGTTACAACGTACATCGGAGTTCTCAGTGTATGGACACGGGCAACAAAGAAGAGCAATAATTGAAGCAGTGCGTCTATATGAGGAGGAAAAGAAGAATGGAAGTAGTAGCTCCGGTGCATGTGAATCTGGGGAAGGTCTGAATGGAGCAGTATCAGTATGTCCAGAATATGCCAAGGATATATCAAAGAAATGGCAAAAATATGTGACCCAGGTTGGCATTAAATGGAGAATTGATACAGTTTGTTTACTTTATGGTCTTTCGATTGGACATATATACTTTCTTTCACATATAATTTGTCTCTTACCTTTAGTTGTTTCTGCATTTTAGGGAAAGGCTTCTGGTAGAACTCCAGAGGAGTGCCGTAAGATGGGCAATGAGATAGGAGTAAGTCAGCTAAAGATTGTTTCAGTCATATCTACTATGAATTAGCTAATTGATATGGTTATGTTCTGGTGCTGATACAGGCTAAAATTCTTGGAAACTACAACGATATCCTAAAAACTTGTAATGCTCTGGACTATCATGATTTGATCAGTTGTTCGGTCACACTGCTCTCTGACTTTCCTGAAGGTGAAGCCACTTAAATAAAATTTCTGGAATTTACATTTATGACGCTCAAAGTTTCCTTCTGTTTATGCGTATCTGCTGGATTTGATTATAGTAATGAAAGAATGCCAAGATACTTGGAAAGCCATCATAGTTGATGAATTCCAGGACACTAGCTCGATGCAGTACAAGCTTCTACGAATGCTAGGGTCTCATAATCGCATAACTATTGTTGGTGATGATGATCAGGTACCTTGTTTTCAGACAATAATTACTTGCCTTTTGTTTGATATGCAAACTGGAAGCATGATGCGTCTTTTTTTGCAGTCCATCTTTGGTTTTAACGGGGCTGACAGTTCAGGATTTGATTCATTTCGCCGAGATTTCCCAAATTACAAAGAGGTTTGGCTTCTTCAGGCTGTTGCATCCGGATTAAATTTCAAAAAACTTTCAACGTTTGATTTATTATCTAATGAAACCAAAAGCTCTCAATAGTGAATTGAGGATGCATAAATCTCATCTAACTGCTTCTGATTCAGGTCAGGCTTATAAAAAACTATCGTTCCTCCCGCCATATTGTGGAAGCTGCGTCTGCTATCATAAAAAACAATACGAAGCGGTGCCAATCAAAAAGCATTTCGTCTGAAAACTCTCAGGGATCTAAGGCAAGTTAATCTTTTCACTATAAGAATTTGCATCATTTAATCAGTAGAGGCTTCACTTTTTCTTGTTTCATCTAGTATAGATTACTGTCAAGGAATGCCATAACGAGGACGCACAGTGTGCATTTGTCATTGACAAAATAATCGAAATCACTAATCATGGCTCAACACCTTGTTGTTCCCATGGAGATATTGCCATCCTTTACAGGAGGCAGGTCAGTCCTTTTCTTTTCCTTAATGACATGTTGACAGAATGTCTTAAAAGCTCAACATATTTACTGTGTTAGTACTGATATTCAGGTGTCGGGCAAAGTATTCCAAACTGTGTTCCGCCAGAGAAAAATACCATTCAACGTTCATGGTGTTGCTTTCTATAGGAAAAAGGTAGTTTGCCTAATAAGTAGCTCATTTGCTTAAATGTTGAATGATCTCCATGTTTCTCAATGCTTGACATTGACATTTCTTACGTGTGATTATCTTAGCTTTACATGTTTCAGACAATGTGCTCCATCTAAAAGACATAACAACTACAACTTTTTTCCTATGATAGGTTGTCAGAATCATTTTAGCTATGCTGAGAACAACATTTTCCGAATGCGATGATGCTTCTTATCGGCGAGTGTTTAAAGCATTACTTCCTTTTGAGAAAGAAGAAAAGATAAAGGTTTGTACCTCATTTTGTCTCTTTTTTTGTTGTTTGCATGACTATCGATGATGATTAATTTTGTCTTTCTTGACTTTAGCTATCAGATTATAGTTGTAATTACTTTATTACCACGTCTGCAGGTTATAGAACATATTGACAAAATCTCCACTAGTAGGAAATGCAGCTTCATTTCAGCGGCGACTGATATATTCAGTGCCAAAATTTCTGGTACCTTCAAGAGGTATTGCTTGATGAAATTTATTAAACTGCTTTAGTCTTAATTCGGAATTGAGAATATCATCTGCTTCTAGGCTTGTTAACTCGGACATAAATAATATTAATGTGTTTGCTTCTAGAGTGATAGATATAGCTCGTTTTGCCACCCAGATGTAGGTGACATTGTATGTGTGTATACAGATTCTAAGAATGAATAGGATGCTGCAAATTAGTTCTCCTCCAATCTTGTTATATTCATGGCTCTTGTAAAGCTTCTTAGGCTCGTTTATATTTATCCACAGGAATCAGCTTACCCAGGGACGCAAAGTGTTGCAAACTCTTGACATGGTAGCAAAGCTGGTTGATAGGGTAAGATAATTGTTTCTTGGTCCTTGAGATACTATGAAAACAGTCATCGTTCGTTGAAATGATCATCTTTATTTCAACTTAGTACTACATCTCTTACATCTAAATGATTTACAGGAACAATCACTTTCAGCTGTTGTAACATGCGTGGCAAATATGATACCACAGGTAATTAGTTTTCTGTCTTCAGTGCTGACATGCTTATAGCTATTGCCCTGGACTGTCATCTCCAGAGTTATATACAAAAAATAGCGCAGATTTTGGAAAGTTTCTTTTGCTAAGCAAGACAGATATATATTATCCCACCAATAACGAACCGTTTGCAATGTTGACATAAAAAATTGACTGTATGCTTGGCAATCATATGTTCATTCCTGAAAGTGTATAGCGATCGTGATTATAGGCTTAAGATATAAATTTTTCTGAAAATTAGTTTATGAACATCTCAACTTTGCTTT